GCATTTTGCGTGAGATTATTGAAAGATAAATATGTTTGTCATTCATTTACACATTCGAAGTGCAAGAGTACTATATGAACATCCTTCCGGTCGACAAATCAAATATACAAGTTGAGACATATTCAGCTGTTCGCATATAACGTGGTATTGATTAGAAGAGAAATGTCGACTTTTTCAATCGGAATTCACATGGATACAGTTCGAGACAGATCGATATGCATAAATTGTTAATCTCTTGACGTAATCTATTGGTCAATATTACGTGAGAATCATCGTTCCTATTGGTTGATTGATAATGACATAAGCCATACGTCTCGTCTTGATTACATCGATAAAAGAAAGAGGAAAGAGAAAGAGAAAGAGAAAGAGAGAGAGAAAAGGAAAGGCAGACATATAAATACTGTCATCGACGTAATATTACGATCATTCCTACGTAATCTTATATAAGACATGTCGTTTATGATAGATCATATTCTCGCCTTATCACCAAAACGTGTTGCTCTTCAACCGATCAATTCGAACTCTCTTGCAAAGAAAGATCGTCGTATCCAACAATGTCATCATTGTTGCAAAATCTTCGATCGGCCTTCGTTATTAATTCGACATATTCGAACTCACACTGGCGAAAAGCCGTATGCATGCGATGTATGTTCCAAAGCGTTTTCCACTTCATCCTCATTGAACACACACCGACGAATCCATTCGGGAGAAAAACCTCACGTTTGTGAAATCTGTCATAAATCATTCACAGCTTCATCCAATCTTTACTATCATCGAATGACTCATAACAAAGTATGTTCTTGCCTGTTCCTTCTTGATTTTGTAATGATAAATTGTTTTCCTCTAGGATAAACCACATCAATGTTTACAATGTACAAAGAGTTTCGCGACACCAGGCGATCTTCGGTGTCATATGCATACGCATAATGGCACATGGCCATTTCGGTGTTCAATCTGTAAGCACGGCTTTTCTAAGCAAACAAATCTGAAGAAACATCTTTTAATTCATGAACATAACGGTAAATATTGACTTAGAACCAGTCAAATCGTTTTCATCTGCTTAATCTTTTTTTTAGAAAAACAATTGATAAATGATGAAAATATGATCTTAAATTAAATATTTATTTAAAAAAAAAACTTCTATCATTTGTCTTATTTTTGTGAACAGTAGATTTGTATATAAATAAAATAAAGAAAACGATTGTTTCAAGCACAGCATGTCATCTTCTTTTATCAGATCAATGTGTCTACATAAGAAATACATCTGTTCAATGCCCTTGTGACGATACGAATGTTTTGTCTATGTGGAAACGAGAATTCTATTGAGAATTCTTTTCACACTGTTTCTATTTGAAATCGAAATTAAAAGATTAAATGAACATGCCTAATCTGTTTAAACATAAATTAACACAGATGAAAATACTTTCTTCTTTCATCCTCGGCAAGGATGGAATATCCTCTCGTAATAATTGAATGGATTCTCTGAAACAAGAAGAAGATCAGTTTATGAAAGATAACACTTCTATGCTGATTAGACTCTTCAAGACGCACACAGCGGGATGATCGTATGGTTGATAGACGAGAAGCAATTCG